CAAACTTTTTTACTGAAATATATTGCAGTCGGTGTCCTTCTTTTATCCGATCATGAAGTTGCTGACGCGTTTTTTATTCTTACTTAATGGTTCTGAAATCGAGAAAAAACATAGGACATTTAGGGGAAAATAAAAAAAGTGGAAAATCTATACAGGGTCACTTCGGAGTTGAGTCATTTATTTAATTTAGGCAACTAATTAAGCGTCGCTTTTAAAGTTTCGAAATTCAAAGGACTTTCGACGAGAGACAGAAAAAACCTAGTTTTCCCAAAATTGTTTTAATACCTTCCTGACACTATTTGTAGTTGGATGTTAAAACAACCTGCATTGCAACTTCTTCTCCTTTTCAAAATGGTATATCTAGAATTTCTATATGACGTTTCGTCTCTTGTCCTCCAGCATCAACAGATTAATAGAGTTTTTAGTTCATTTACATGTATAATATATATATATATATATATATATATATATATATCATACATTGGCCTTACATTTAGAAAAATAAAATTTCTAAATGTAACTAAGGCACTGAAATGATCATATTAATTTAAATAAATCGAACAGTGAACAATATACAGGGTGACTTCGAAGTTGAGTCATTTATTTTAACAGTGAGTAGATCTGATCAAAAGAAATGTTTTTTTCCTTTACCATTTTTCTGGTAAAATTAAAGTAACAAAGTTATAGCCCTTTGGAAGTTTGAGTACCGCCCTGTCTCAATAATATTATGTGCTCGTGTTTGGCGACAACGGATATAATCCGCCGTATCGGTTCATCGCATCGGAAACAAAAAAGCGAAAGAATTTGGAACGATGTTTTTACAATTATTTTATTCATTTGTATACAGTCAGTGTCAGTGAATAGTGGTGTCTGTTGCGTGGCTCAAACGAAATAAAAAATGGCACATGTTTATGCGGATCGGTTTCCCAATCGAGTGCAACCAACCCCTCGTGCCTTTGTTAATGTAGTACAACGGGCTCGTGAATCAGGTGACTTAAGACCACACAGGGGACTGCATGCCGGTGCTCCAAGACCTCACGATCAAATACAGGTCCGCACTGAAATACTTGTCGGGAGGATACTTTATAAAACAAGGTAAAAAATGTTTTTTAATTTTTTTTTATTTTTACACACATATTTTGGTTTATCTTCCTTCTACAATCATTATCTGAAAATTAATGACTCAACTTCAAAGTTGTATACGTTTATATTAATCAATGAAACACAAAAACGAAAAACTGAAACAAACAACAATAGCAAAATAAAAAGCGATTCTTGATAAGTATAAAACAAAAATAACACTAGTAAGCTAAAACACAATAAATCGTAAATAATTATAAAAAACAAAAACAATTCCATAATTATAAAAAACAAAAAATAACAAACAGTAAAATAAAAAGCTATTCTAAGTGACAACAAAAAACAAAAAGTTGAAACAGCAGTAAACTGAAAAACAATTTCATATAATTATAAAAAAATTGCTTTTTATTTTAATGTTTGTTATTTGTTGTTTTTTATAATTACATGGAATTATTTTTTTTTGTTTTACTGCTGTTTTCTAATTGACAATTTATTGTTTTTAGCTTACTATCGTTATTTTTTGTTTTATTCTTATAAAAAAACAGCTGTAAAACAACAAAAGACAATTCCCCGTATTTATAAAAAAACATCAAATAACAGACAATGCTTTAAAAAGCATTTTTTATAATTATATGGAATTGTTTTTCGGTTTACTACTGTTTTTACTTTTTGTTTTTTGTTATGACTCAGAATTGCTTTTTATTTTACTGTTTGCTATTTTTTGTTTTTTATAATTTGACATGGAATTGTTTTTTGTTTTACTACTGTTATTATTTTTTGTTATCACTTAGAATAGCTTTTTATTTTACTGTTTGTCATTTTTTGTTTTTTATAACTACACGAAATTGTTTTTTTTTTGTTTTTTATAATTACTTATAATTTATTGTTTTTTAGCTTACTAGTGTTATTTTTTGTTTTATACTTATCAAGAATTGCTTTTTATTTTGCTATTGTTGTTTGTTTCAGTTTTCGTTTTTGTGTTTCATTGATTAATCTAGAAACCATTTATAATTCAAAATTCCGCGTTTGTGATTGGTAGAAATTAAGACGAGTGAAATAGTCGTCATGGAAACCGCAGGATAAGTTTCAGATGCTACATTAACACAAAAACTGGTGGCACGGCTTGACTTGTGTTTGAATGTTTATGGTGGCTATGTTGAAAAATGTACATTCATAAATAAAATTTCTCTGGCTGGATTACAAAACGGTTCTTACTTAAAAAATAACCCTCGTATAAACCGTTACTTCATTGATATTTTTTTTTAGGTTAATAACTGTGGCATGCTAGCGATTTTCGATTCTACAATAGCAGAGAAAATGAAAATCGTGCTTCTTCTATTAATGATCATGTAATTTTAGATCAAATACTTAATAAATACTCGTATATTTATATAATAAAAAAATGTTTTTTTTCCAACTGTTTGAAGAAAACATTAACGTTCCGCCGCATAGACGCCATGCGACGCAAAACGTAAATAACAGCTTTTTTTAGTTTTTTGGCAAAAATTGCTACGCCTCAAATTTTATATATCTCCATTGGTAGCCCTCAATGTTTATTTCAAAGCTTCTTTTTTATATAAACTTCTAGCAAAATAGTCGGATGAGCTGGCAATGCAGCAATTTAGATGACAAGAATGACAAGGCCAACTGCTATAACGTATGTCTATCCCGGGGTAACGACGGAGTCATATAGTACGTCAAAGCAGCAGCTTTCCAATCTTCATTTGCATTTTTGTGTGTGAAAAATTTCGAGAAAAATTTCGCCACGGATAGTCTAGTAGAGAATACTTCAATACTTGTCTTGCGTGGCCATGTTATCTTTACTCATGTGGAGAAAAAAAATACCTCTTGGCCCTAAACAAACAGCCTAGCTTCTTCACAGCGGCTGCCACTATTGACGAGATGTTCTCATGCCAGATCTAGTTCTCGGTGATCTGGACTCCGACCAGCCAAAATGTATGGCTATTTGAGCATTTCATAATAAAACTGACCAAAAATGGGTAGCTGAAAAAAATAGCTAAGAATGAGAAATATGTCTGGGAACACTACACTTACATTGCGCATTGAATTTGTTTACAACGGAACACCTTGTAGAATCCTTTGTACCTATTTTACACCACCAATTTCTTCACGAATTCAGATGGTTGTCTTCAAGGTCAACCTGATTATGTTTTGCCATGTTTACGTCATGGATTATATGACAGTACACAGTACTGAAAAGCACACAACAATTTTTGCTAGACATATTTTGAGCATTCATGTATATTGAGGTTTTGATTTTGAGTCAAAGAACATTCATGGACTTATTTCACGACAGATTTCTGTTTGAAGTTTGGTCATGAACTCAAATCATGATGAAATCCGTGGATATACTGTCAATGTTAAACGGGTATTATAATAGTATAAATGTTATGGTCCTTGATAAGAAATGTAAAGATACAGCGTGGCCGATTTGTACCTTATGTGACTTTGAAGTTGAGTCATTAATTTTCAGATAATGATTGTAGAAGGAAGATAAACCAAAATATGTGTGTAAAAATAAAAAAAAATTAAAAAAATTTTTTTACCTTGTTTTATAAAGTATCCTCCCGACACGTATTTCAGTGCGGACCTGTATTTGAGCGTGAGGTCTTGGAGCACCGGCATGCAGTCCCCTGTGTGGTCTTAAGTCACCTGATTCACGAGCCCGTTGTACTACATTAACAAAGGCACGAGGGGTTGGTTGCACTCGATTGGGAAACCGATCCGCATAAACATGTGCCATTTTTTATTTCGTTTGAGCCACGCAACAGACACCACTATTCAAACGCGTTACCGACTGACACTGACTGTATACAACTGACTAAAATAATTGTAAAAACATCGTTCCAAATTCTTCCGCTTTTTTGTTTCCGATGCGATGAACCAAACACGAGCACATAATATTATTATTGAGACAGGGCGGTACTCAAACTTCCAAAAAGCTATAACTTTGTTACTTTAATTTTACCAGAAAAATGGTAAAGGAAAAAAACATTTCTTTTGATCAGATTTACTCACTGTTAAAATAAATGACTCAACTTCGAAGTCGAAGTATATCCGCGACTTTCATGGTCACTAGGCCACAGTTTTTGGGTTAACCGAATTTTTATATGATCGCAAATGCAAGTCTTTTTTTAAAATAGTGCATAATGACGGATAACCAGTTCTTGAGAACGATGTCTGGTAGACGTCTCAGGGCGCTCCACTACACTTTCACGAATTTCTCGATATTTTCAGGAGTACGAACAGCCCGACCTTGGCAAGTCTCCAACTTCACCTGTTTGTTCGAATTTCCTCACCAACTGACGATTGGTGTCGACAATGGGCACATTATTTCGCCCGAAATCTTGTAGCTTCCGAATCGTTGCAACACTCTTTCGCACCGGCGGGCCGTCGGCGATCTAGCTCTTTTCTATCGCTACACCAACGGGCTTTGCTCCTCAGAGCTCTCTTCCATGATGCCGCCGCGCGATGTGCCTGCCAGGCAGACCCGCCTGACTTCGGCGTCCCATCCTAACCGTGTCAAACTTCGTACATCCAGAACTAGCCGATACGACCGCTCCTTTGTCCCGAGGGTGTCTAGATTGTGGAACAAACTACGGGAGGAGGCTTTTCCCAGTTCTACTAACCTTAGGCAGTTTAAAAATCGTATTAACAAAATGTCTTTGGGATCATCATAGCAGCCGCGGTGTTCCGGCATTTAGGCTTCTGCCTGCGCGGCTGTTTCGATATAAAAAAAAAAAAACAATCAACTCATTGATTAAATAAAACGTTTTAACAATACGGACGCGTTGTGGGATCGTTTAGCTCTCCATGATGAATTGGACAAACTACTACCACCTACTATTACATATTGGCCACCCTGTATAAGTAGGTAAAAGAATAAGAAATAGACGTTTGTTACATCATTTAATGACAATAAACAGCCCATCAACTATAAGTTGACAGGTACCATAGAATATAATACTATAATGTAAATTAATACATAAAAGCATAAGGAGTACAACAAAGAAGAAATTTCAACAAGATACTCGTAAATTCAAAGAACATTATAAGGAATATGTATCTACAATTTACACATTTATTTAGAACATTCACATGCAGCGCATATCAACTTCAGCGCATGTTAAACATCAACTTTTTTAGTACAGGATATCTTATTTTTTCATAGACTATTGGAATGACTTTTTAGGTTAAAACACAAATTAGCTGCAATGCTTCTGTAACACTGTACTTGAAAAATAAGAAACTGACTAAAAACTTTGTCTAACACGTCAGTAACGCCTGCACTGATTCAGTAACAGCTTAGTCGGTGAATTTTCTGTTGACGTTACGTCCGAACAGAGCAGTACGGATCTGAGGGATCAACTGTTGGGAAATCAAGTCCAAACGAGCCTCCAGGGTGTTGTTGATTTTGACCTTGTTCTTCAAAGCCAACAGTTCGATTCCCCCGGTGGTTTCCTGGGATAGATGACTTTCGTCGTCGATTTTGAGGTTCACCTCCTTACCAGTAACATCTTTGTATTTGGCGGCGACATTCGGAATGATCGATTTGACCAAATCCCTGTCTTGAGGTCGCACGCGGACTGTAATCTCTTTCTCAAAAAGCTGGAAAAACATTAGTAACAGTAAGAATAATTCCCTATATTTCTCTGGTCAATCGAAACCACATGTTTTGAAAAAATCTTCTCTATTGTAAACAGTGAACTTCTTCACTACAATGACGTTGACAAAACGCAAAAAGTCCTACAATAAAACTCGAAAATCCACCTAGAACTGTTATCATAACACACCAGTTAGTTGATATGCAATATTCGTCTAAAATGTTGCAAATGGATTGTTTATAGATCTGAAACGCGAGAAATAGTACTTCGTCATCTAAACGGAAGCATGTAATTTGTCCTGTGAGAAAAAAATATAAGACATGACATTTCAGCCTTGAGATGGAGAAATAAAACAACTGCGCGGTTGCGTTCCAACAACAAACAATAAGAAAAAACCTGGATAAAAACAAAGAAGAATAATTAGGATAATTGGCAAAATTAAAATTTTCGTTTTTGACCTGAGCAAAAAAATTTTTTTTGAATTTGATGACCCAACAATGAGCCATAGCAGCTCAAGTTGAAGTTACTCATAGTAAAGTGTGGAAGACAATACAACAAGAACAGTATTATCCTGATCATTATCAATGGGTACAAGTGTTACAACCGGAAGATCATCCTAGAAGATATAGTCAAATACCAGAATTGATGACAGTAGCAGAAGTCATCGTGCGCCACTGTTTTGATGCGGTACCTTTTGATTACAGCGACGGTTGCCGACATTTCACAAACAAGTGCCGCATTTTCGAAGGTCTCCGCGTCATATCAGTGGCGTACGATTAGTTTCGCTACTGTCATCAATTTTGGTATTTTACTATAGATAGAATGCTTTATATGTGTGAGCCTATAAATAGGATACAAAACGTCAAAATATAAAGAAAAGATGCGGATAACTAATATATGACTTGGAAGAGTTAGGATACAGAAACACATAAAAATAACGTGTTACTCGCACAAAAATTCATTGGTACTATAGAATGTCTTATTTAGTAAGAGGTCCCGACTTTTGAACAAAGATAAGCTGGTAATCTGCTTAATATCTAAAGGTAGTTTATTATAAAGGGTTGTCCAATAGGGACGCAGGAAAGTAAACGTCAATTGGACATAGACGCCATCTTTGTTTTCTGTCACCGACATGTCATTTTGTTAGTTGAGTGTTTACCATTGATCGCTATGGAGTCGTATTCGATTGAAGACCGCATTAAAGTTATTCAAGAGCACTACAAAAATGGTGCAAAAATAAAAAACACGTTTCGCGCGCTTCGTGAACATTTCGGTCGCAACAACCGCCCAAACGAAACAACCATCGGTCGTCTGGTGCGTAAATTCGAGGCAACAGGTTCTGTGGCAAATCTGCCAGGCTCTGGCCGGCCAACGAGCGTTCGTACATCGGAAAATATTGCTGTTGTGAAGGAGAGTGTGAGAGACGATTCGAAACAATCAACAACGCGTCGATCCCAAGAATTGGGCATTTCGAGAACCAGTTTGTTCCGCATTCTCCACAAGGATTTGAATGTACACGCCTACAAGATCCTACTGACGCAAGAGCTGCGTCGGGCCGACCATTTTTCGCGCCGAACGTTCTCAGATTGGCTCCTTGAACACCGCCAAATTGATGCCAATTTTTCATCAAAAATCATGTTCAGCGACGAAGCGCATTTCACTTTGAATGGGACGGTAAACAAGCAAAACTGCCGCATCTGGGCGAACGAAAATCCCCGTGAGTATCAAGAGCAGTCGATGCATCCTCAAAAAGTGACTGTGTGGTGTGCATTGTGGTCAAAAGGCATCATCGGACCTTACTTTTTCGAAAATGCGGCCGGGGACGCCGTTACCGTCAATTCTGAGCGATATCACGTGATGATAGAGGACTATTTTTTTCCGCAACATCAAGGAATGGATATGTTTATTTCCAACAAGACGGTGCAACATGCCACACAACCAACGTCAATATCCATCGATTGCAGTCATTCTTCGGTGATCGCGTGATTTCACGCAGAGGAAGTGTGTCATGGCCACCAAGATCGTGCGATTTGACTCCCTTGGACTTCTTTTTATAGGGATATTTGAAAAGCAAAGTCTACGTCAATAAACTAACCACCCTCCAAGAACTCAAAAACATCATTGCCGAGATAAATGCCATAGAACCGACCATGTTGCAAAATGTCATTGAAAATTTCGACCATCGCGTGGACGTCTGTAAATCCAGTCGTGGTGAACATTTGAGCGATATTATTTTTCATACATAAATGGTATAAATGAACCTTCAAAATAAAGTACCCAACTTGATTTGAATATCAATCTTTCTTGTTTTAATATGCGTTTACTTTCCTGCGTCCGGTTTGGACAACCCCATACATGGCACTACATAAATACATCGGGCTCTTTTTATAAGCACTAAGGTTAGAATTTTGAATATGAATATGGGTATTATATCTAGTATGGTAGGCGTGTACTTCACTGTGCTGGGGGAATAATTCTGTGTGTTCTTTATCAAATAAGCATGACTCGCAGATCAAGAATGACGGTAATGTTAAAATTTTACAGTTGCATTTTGCCAGAGGTTTTTAGATCAGTTCAGCAGAAATGAAGATTTTACAAAATCAATTTCATGTAGGAGGCCACATTTACGTGTAATAGAGTGTCAAATGGCATGCTTATTGGATCCTACTTTTTCCCACCTTGACTCGCCAGTGAAATTTATTTAGATCTTCCTCAACACAATCTGCCATAATTATTAGAAAATGTTCCTCGAACTGTGAGACAGAATATGTGATTCCTAGATGATGGGGCTCCACCACATTTTAGACGAGAAGATCATATAATAAGTTTCCGAATAGATAGATATAGCGCAATGGACCCATTTCTTGACCTGCTCGCTCACCGTATTTAACGCCTTGCGATTTTCTTTCTGCGCGGCTATTTGAAAGAGTTAGTGTATCATGATGGAGCTGTAAATACTCTGGAAGGACTTAAACAGTGAACGAAAAGCTTGCGATTTAATTCGTGGGCGGCAGGATTTTGCGTAATTTTGAACAGTTTTTGTAAAAACAGTATCCATTTACACTTTCACATATAAGTGATTTTTAGTATATCAACTTCTTTTGTCGAGTTCTATGAGCTATTAAAACAAATGACTCAACTTTGAAAACACCCTGTATAGACAGTTCTCTGGTTAATGTTAACTACCATTTTACACCAAACCAAACATTGAAAATTAACTTCTGGTTAGTATTAAAATTATAGTTATCCTGCAGGTCTAATTTGGTAATTAGTTAATCATAGTGTTATCATTAATTTCTAATGATGGCATCAAACTAACTAGGTCACATATTGACAGCTGTCAATGAGCATTTAACATTTGGCAGGTAACGCTTGGTTTTTTGGCTAGATTGAGAAGTACTAGACCGATATTTTCATAATGGATGTGTATTCTTGAAACAAGTTTGAAGATGCTTCACACTGTTGAACCTTTAATAATTACCTGATAGAGCGCTTGCAGGATCAATGCCTCAAGGATCTGAGCATATTTTCCTTGATTTTTGGTGACATCTCCCAGACGTTTTCGTGCTTCATCCAAAACTTGTCTAACATGATCCTCCCTAACTTTCAGCACCTTCAATCTTGCCTGATTCAACATGTTGGATGACTGACTGTAATATTAATATGTGTGTAATAAAGATTGATTCTCTCAAAGACAGAATACATATTATTTTTTTTTCCAAAAAGTACTTGTTAAATTTTTGTATGAATGAGAAAAGGCAAAACATGCTCATGTTTGAGCATAAAGTTGCTCGCCCATGCTTTGACATATAAATTCTGGAATGGCTTAATAGGTTTTCCCACAGCCTCTTATTAGGATGAGACCTCAATTCTGACATGGAGGTTAGGTATTCAGGTAGGTGACAACAATCTTGATAAGCCTCCATGTTTTTCTAACTGCCAAATCAAACCACATATAGTAGATTGGATGTTTACTAATATTTCAGCTACCACGATGGCCTTTTTACAAGTACAAGTCAAAAATAGCACTGTCAATATATTTTGATCTATTATTTGTTTTTCACACTCCTTTACAGTGTGTTCCGATTCATCATAATATGGTTTTGTTTGGTCACCAGAAAAACATGGGAGATTTATAACATGATTTATTAGTGTGAAAACCACAGGATAAGTTTCAGATGTGGGCATTTATTGTATGGCATGTTTCAATCAGTTTTCAGAGAGGAAAGTCAAATTTGATTGGCTATTTCCATCAGTAGAAAATATGGTAATTTAAATAAGCCCTCTTTTAATGCAAAAATACCCTGATAACTTTCCCAAAACTTGAGCAAAAAGAAGTATAAATTGCATCAATCTTGGAAAATCAAAAATATAAATTTTATCTAGGTGGATTGAAAAAGTACATTTAAGGTAAATCAGACTAGGATTACATAATTATTTATCTTTTGGCGAGTGAACTCTTACATTTTCTTCTGCAGTTCAACTTGTTTCTCCTTCTTCTCATAATATTCCATGATCTTGAGTCGCTGTTGTTGAACCAAGCGCCCCTTTTCGATGTTGAACTCCTCCTCAGCCTTGGCATCAATTTCTTCTGCTTTTTCATTGGCTTCTTGCTCAATGAAAGCCATCATGTGCTTGATCTAAATGCAAAGCGTGATATCAGTACCTATGAATCGTTTTGGACATTGCTATCATATTAGAAAATAGACAAATGTAGATGTAAAGCCATTGCAGAAGATACCATTTCTGGTAAAGTTTCGTTGGTTTTTTACTGTACAGAAGATGCGACATTCTTGTGTTCAATGCATATGATAATGTTAAAAGCTTTCGGAGTGGCATTATATTGCATAAAAAGGAAAAAATGTAAAGTTCAAAAGTGAGAAAGGCAGGCGATTATTTACCTGTTTTTGGACATCCTGATCGCTGAGAGCCATTTTGCTGGTTGTGTATTGATGAACTGCTCACAAATGAAAGAAAATGCAGTTGAAAAATCAGAATGTAGCTTTTCAAATGAGAAGGAAACGCCTAAACACCCGAAAATTCAACCACTTGATCAATTTACTCGGTCATATGATACAATGACAGGAGGATGTCATGTGATTTTTGACGGACTGACGTCAGTGCAGTGTTGCCGGACCGAAAAACATTGCGAGTACACGGATGTTCCTTAAATACCAACAAATGGGGAAATGACATTTTGTTATTGTGTACAGACTACAGGTATACACAATTTCTATAAATGTAAAAAACAAATTGAAATTAAACTCAAAAAAAACTAATTTTGTATATTTTTACAAAAACACAATATAACGACCATACACCATTAGCCACCATAATAGGCTCAACTTGAAAAAACATTATAAGAGGCGTGGTTCAAAATCCGCACGGGTATCACGTAACCGAAAAAGTGACATTATGCCGATTTCTTTTTACATTATACTGTTTTTTTTCTAATTTATGTAGGTTTTTCTACAAGATATTAACTTAGCACTTAGTTGTACGTGTTGCCTAAGCGTCATGAGGCTTGTTATCAATCTTTGACTCTGATGTGATGTAAAATTTGCTTCTGAGATGGCATTACTGGAGGTCTAAGCTATTAGTTGTATGTGTTGATGATAATTTCAATGGGTTCTTGTCTCAAATACACTTAATTGAGATTCAAAGCTAGTTGCGCATTAACTTTTTCTTATCCATTCTGGAAATTAGATATACAAACTTGCTGAATTTCAATAATGAGAGAGATAAGAAATAATTATATTCACTGTACACTGTCGAATTACAAGCCATATACATGCTAACATAATTACACACAACGAGGGTGCGGTAATGATTTCCCGTAATTCTTCTCAGTTTTTCGTGATTTATGACTTTGAACATAACCTTTCTCCAGAATGCACAAAATAAAAGTAACCCGTCGGGCACAGAAAAAAAAGTTATACTTCGTTGGCAGCATATTCAGTAATGAGTTTCTCACACAGCAAATATCACTGATTTTATACACATGCAGACCAATACACATAATCATCCAGATGTGATCTTGCTATTTAACCAACTTTCTTCTCAGAGATAACATTTACAGACAAGAACCATTTGGTCTCACAAAACATCTGCAACCAATAATGCATTTAGTTTAGTTGAGTGATTCCTCATTAGATGGACGTTCACAACGATCCTAGTGAACAAACGTGGGACTGTTTGCGCCCTAAAAACTATCTAGTTTGCAAGATGACATCTCATAGGCTTTTTTGGCGTTTTATAGGTTTTTTACATGATACCCATGCCGGTGAGTTCCTTTCTTTCTGTTTCTAACATCAGGATAAAATCGATGAATGACTGGTTATACTCAGATACCAAACGGAAGAGAGAAGCATAACCTATCGTATGTTTTGATATACTTTCCCGTTTCGCTAACACTTCTCAGCCATAAAACGAACTTTAAAAATATTTTTTAATTCTCAAAATTATAAGTGGACTATGGCTGAAAATGATTTACTTAAAAAAATTGGCACCAAACTTTTCTATTGAAATAACAAAACATTCCAATCGTCCTTGAGATCACACCAATGTTATTTCAATATACTAGAAATCATGCTGTCAATAATTTTGAAATTGCAATAATTACCTCCATGTACGACTCCGTGAACTTGAATCTTCATCACCTGACATTTTAATTAATTATTAAATTCCAAAACCGACGAGTTTCTACCTAGTGTACCGATTGCATTAAGTGTACCATATTGGTATGGGACATGAAAGTACATAGAAATCTTGTCTTTTAAGTTTATTTTTGGTCCCGACTGTTTTTCGGTAAAAAAACTGGAAATATCGAGGACGTTTTCGGTAGTCTCATTTTGGTAGAAATACCGAAAAATCGATAGGTTTGGCAACACTGCGTTAGTGTATAATGTTTAGTGTCTCAGATAACAATCGTCGGTGTTGCCAGTTGGGGTGGTTCACCCAACCCATGGGACCACCACATAACGTCAAATCTAACGCAGCTCGCAATGTGGCAGATATGTGCAATTAACTCGGGATTCGTATGCGTCAAATTGCCATATTTCATATAATTCCACAGTTAAAATGTGTTGAATATTTTCGTGTAAAACCGTTCAACCCCATTGTGCTTAGTATGGCAGTATGTTTTTAAAACCATCCACTAAGAGCTCGCCTATAATCGCATATATGACAGTTTTGGGTTGTGGTGGTGACTTGATAATGACTGTGGTTTCTCATGAGGCCACGTTAATGCCATTTGCCCAGAAATGTGAGTCTAGCAAACATGGCATAATAAATCATGAGTCACTATAGTTAATCCGTATATGTATGGTGCAGAAATAAACAAAAATTAATAAAGATAAAGAGATACTAAGTCGTATGACGCCTCATCATCAGGTTATAATTTCATGCGGTTCCAGTACATTCGTGAGATCGAATAACATTGATTCACTGCTAAACATTCAGCTATATAATCCACAGAAATCCTAAGACGCAAACATTACGGCAACAAAGGAGAAAACTATGTTCGGAATCGATTGTCAATTTCTCTGTTATCTGACTTACCTGTTTTATGCTTGTGCTAGGCTTGTGGTTTGTGTTGTGCTCAGTCTTGCCGAACCTACTGATTTCTCCTATATTTCTACCGAATTGGGACTATTTAGGGAAATACCAACTTCCAGGAGTTCATAAAATAATTTTGATATTCACATATTTTTTACCGAAAAAGAGCTGGAACCAAAAATAAAGCTAAAAGATGAATTATATGTAGTTTTATCCCACATACTAATCATACATATCCGTACACTTGGACAGTCGGGTACACGAGGAACGTAGATTTGAGTTGGCTATAATTATGTACGCTCAACCCGTATTCTGCTTTTCCCATATTGGGTTTTGTAAGTACAACAGGTACAGACTGGTAGATCACCATCGTCATCACCATGTCACTGGATAAGTAGTTAGGAAACCAGCGATTTAGTTAAATATTAAATACAAATCCCAGGTGACGAATCTTCAAGTTCAGGGGTAAACAGAAAAATATTCACAATCTTATAACAAAAAATGGAGAACGGAGTTTTTAGGATGGTTGCAAAGGAGTTTCAAGTGCGACGTGTATGTTCATTGATATGTTATAATAATGAGGTCAATATTTTTAGAGGAAAAGATGGTAAAAAAAACTGTGCACGCAAAAAAAAATCTACTCTTTGTCATAAACGACGCTGTGTGACGCAAAGGCCCTTGAATCAACCCTGGCGTGATTGTTTTCTCCTAAAGATTTTGTCCTTGAGTCTATTGAATTTCAAGGGCACTATCTACGGATTTCGTCTTTTTCGGTTCGGCAACACTGTTCGTGCTGTGGGACAGTTGACGTCGGTGGCCTACTCTGTACTCTCTGTGTTTTGCGGTTTTGTGCTTTTGTTATTGTTGGTTGGATTTTGTATTGTTGCCGTTTACCGGTGTTTGGTTATTCGTTCTTAAATCGTTTTAAAACTTGATACATTGACTCAACCTTAGACTATTATTAGTCTAAGGGCTCGACATATCCGGTTTTTCTTTCAGCACCAGTATTCAACATAAAAATGTCCAAAGGACTAGTGGAGATCGATGGATCTGTGCTGGAAGGGGTGAGTTTAGAATATTCACCCACTTGACCGTGTGGAATGTTTTTTATTTGCTTTCAGGGTGGACAGATCTTAAGAATTGCCCTAACTATAAGTGCAATTAAAAAAATCCCCATTCGAGTAGTAAAAATTAGGGCAGGAAGAAACAAGCCTGGTCTGATGGAGCAGCACTTGAAAGGTTTCATATAAAATAATAAATTCCGGCTTTATTAGGGCGAAATTAACGAAAATTACCAGCATTCATCTTAATTCAAGGAATTGGTGTAACATATTGGCAATCAAACATATGTGCCTATTAATACTTCTCTCCCGTACACGCTGAAGTCGAGCCGTCAGGCAAGATTGGTTCTCACTGTATAAACATTGTCTCTTAATTTCTAGGCCTCGAATTAATGCGCGATATGTGTAACGGTAGGTTGACTGGAGGACATATGGGTTCAACGGAGATACAGTTTTGGCCGAACGAGCTTAAAGGTGGCACTTATACTGCCAAAATCAAAACTGCGGGTAGCATCACTTTATTACTACAGGTAGCAGTCCCAGCTGCCTTGTTTGCAGATAGTGCGACTGTTCTGAATATAACTGGCGGTACAAACACAGAAATGGCGCCTCAAATTGACTTTTATACAGAAGTGTTTCGGCCGAATTTGGAGAAGTTCGGGGCAACATTTGATTTTGAACTGAGGAAAAGGGGATATTTCCCGAAAGGTGAGATTTTGCTGATAGAATAAAAGATTCACGGGCTCCAAAGTTTTATTTTGTCTTTGCTAGGTAATGGAGAAGTATCAGTTACTGTAGATCCAGTTGCACATTTGAACCCTGTCATTTTGACAGAAAGGGGAAGCATAACTGATATTTATGGATGGTCGTATACAGCTGGTACAGTTCCTATCAGGCTAGCTTACCTTTTGGCAGAAAATGCTGAAAAGCTACTAAAGGAATATGGCCATGTGGCTATACAGAAATATAAAGAAGATCCTAAAGTTGCTCCAGACAATTCATCTGGATTAGTGTAAGCATAGACTTCTCTTATCAATCCGTAATCAAAATTAATATTCTACAGGGTATCCCAATCCCTATATGGATAACCAGTGGGAAAGATCACTTTTTGATTGAAGAAAAAAACTTAATGAAAAGACAATATTTATTACTATCAACATATTCATTTTATTTCTTAAGTATCATTCTGTCCTAATATTGCCACCCCTGCGGACACACCCTTCTAATCGCGCGCGCAAATTCTGAAACACTCTTGCAGAGTTTCGGAGTGATGTTGTTTATTTCTCGTCATGGCGTGACGTCGGGTGACCTTGGAGGCCAGTGAACGTCTCCAAACGTCGATATAACTTTTTGAGGAAAAAGTGCTTTCACCGTGTCCATCGATTCTCTGGAAGTATGGGCAGAGGCCTCATCTTCTGTTTCTGTTAAATAGACGTTCTGTTCTTACAATAGGAGCAAAAAAAGTGTCAATCATGTCCATGTATCGCTCAGAATTGACTGTCAATGCATGAGCGTTTCCATCTTCAAAGAAATACCGCAAGAGGATATGGCGCACCAAACAGTCACCTTTGGACTATGTAGCTTTGTTGATGTTTCTCTTTTGGGTTCGTAGGTGTCGAATATCGGCAATTTTGCTTGTTCACATAACCGTCTAAATGGGCCTCGTCACTGAAAACAACGTTCTCGAGTCTGCGCGTAGGAAAAAGATTCTCAACATCCGTTCAGCATAAGATTTCCGTAATAAGTAATCACATGGACTGATTGGATTTTATGGGGATGAAAACCATTATACCATACAGTGTTGACCTAGGGTTTCCCAAAACAGCGGAATGCTTCCGTACAGAACGCCGAATGCGTTGACTTAAGTGTAGAGCATGTTTCACGTAATCTCTTAATCCATCTTGGGGCATTTCTTGGTCGACGAATGTTGTATCGTGTGCAAAATTTCCGAAGGGCAGCTGCTTATGAATCACCACTCTTAAGGAAAGCATCGATAGCAAAAGTAAAGGGTTGTCCAATAGGGACGCAGGAAAGTAAACGTCCATTTGACATAGACGCCATCCTTGTTTTCTGTCACCGACATGTCATTTTGTTAGTTGAATGTTTACCATTGATCGCTATGGAGTCGTATTCGATTGAAGACCGCATTAAAGTTATTCAAGAGCACTACAAAAATGGTGCAAAAATAAAAAACACGTTTCGCGCGCTTCGTGAACATTTCGGTTGCAACAATCGCCCAAACGAAACAACCATCGGTCGTCTGGTGCGTAAATTCGAGGCAATAGGTTCTGTGGCAAATCTGCCAGGCTTTGGCCGGCCAAGGAGCGTTCGCACACCGTAAAATATTGCTGTTGTGAAGGAGAGTGTGAGAGACGATCCGAAACAATCAACAACGCGTCGATCCCAAGAATTGGGCATTTCGAGGACCAGTTTGCTCCGCATTCTGCACAAGGATTTGAATGTACACGCCTACAAGATCCAATTGACGCAAGAGCTGCGTCGGGCCGACCATTTTTCGCGCCGAACGTTCTCAGATTAGCTCCTTGAACACCGCCAAATTGATGCCAATTTTTCATCAAAAATCATGTTCAGCGACGAAGCGCATTTCACTTTGAATGGGACGGTAAATAAGCAAAACTGCCGCATCTGGGCGAACGAAAATCCGCGTGAGTATCAAGAGCAGCCGATGCATCCTCAAAAAGTGACTGTGTGGTGTGCATTGTGGTCAAAAGGCATCATCGGACCTTACTTTTTCGAAAATGCGGCCTGGAACGCCGTTACCTTCAATTCTGAGCGATATCACGTGATGATAGAGGACTATTTTTTGCCGCAACTTGAAGGAATGGATATGGACGATGTTTATTTCCAACAAGACGGTGCAACATGCCACAAAACCAACGTCAATATCCATCGATTGCAGTCCTTCGGTGATCACGTGATTTCGCGCAGAGGAAATGTGCCATGGCCACCAAGATCGTGCGATTTAACTCCCTTGGACTTCTTTTTATGGGGATATTTGAAAAGCAAAGTCAACGTCAACAAACCAGAAACCCTCCAAGAACTCAAAAACAACATCATTGCCGAGATAAATGCCATAGAACCGACCATGTTGCAAAATGTCATTGAAAATTTCGACCATCGCGTGGACGTCTGTAAATCCAGTCGTGGTGAACATTTGAGCGATATTATTTTTCATACATAAATGGTATAAATGAATCTTCCAAATAAAGTACCCAACTTGATTTGAATATCAATCTTTCTTGTTTTAATATGCGTTTACTTTCCTGCGTCCGTTTTGGACAACCCTTTACATTGTGCTCCGGTCCAACGTTCCATTTTGATTATTTAACCCACTTCCTCGGGTATACGATTGCCGCATAATTCAAATTTGAAATGTGAACCTTTCCACTGGACACCCTGTAGAAGTACCACGTTTCTTTAGAATCAAAATAAGTCAATAGGACATGATTTACCTCTCCATTTTGGAGTGTTGCATCTGACATCATTATTAATTTTCGTTATTCTCATGCATATTTTAGTTTGGTTGCCGAAACGACTACTCATTGCGTTCTCGGCGGCTCAGGCATGTTTAGAAAAAATGCCAAAGTTGAGGAAATCGGCGAAGAGGCAGCAAACAAACTGATCCATACAATCACCGAAGGAGCGTGCGTTGATGAATATACTCAAGATCAGATTGTGATTTTGATGGCTTTGGCCAAAGGAGAGTCGAAAGTTCGCATTGGAGCCGTGACGATGCATACCAAAACAGCCATTTTTGTGATTGAATTGTTACTTCCTCAAGTAAGTTACCACTGTTAGCGCCAGTTGTACAAAACAATAGTAAACAAGGTTCACGGTTCAAGGACAACTGAAGATGACACCACTCGTAAATTAAAGGTAGTGTTGTTCATCTGTTGATAGTAACTCACCAAAGTCTCCGCCATTTTGGACGCGCAGTTGTTATGTAACAGTCGTTTGAGTGAGTTGATGTGATTGTGAAAATGGACAAAATCGAATATCGAGCTGTCATTAAATAGAGCAGACGCTCGATAATGTAAACTAATTTAATCCAAGTGTGGTTCACATTATCGAAATGTTTACATTAGCGAAAGTGATTTATATAATATTTGATTTGTTAAAAGAAACGTTTAATACATGCTATTTATAACAAAATAAACAAATATTCTAACAGCGATAAGTATTTTTTTAATTAGAAGAAAAATAATTAACAATTTTTGTCTGCGTAAATTTGCGCTTAGCATTGTCTTCCAATGCCTGCGCCCGTAATTTACGAAGAACTAAAATATCCGTGTGTGAAACTTCTTTTATTTCAGCCCAATCTAAAGCTTGGTTAAAAACTTGTATAGCTTGCGCGTCAGTCACTACACTTCTGACTTCAATGGGATCGTTCTCATCATCCTCACTGTCCATCTCGTCCTCCTTATCAGCATGATTCGTCTGCTTATCTTCGTTCCATAAATTAATATCAGCAGGAGTACAAACAATGTTGGGATTCACTGTTTTCAATAAATCAACAACATCCAATGACACACTAATAACATTAACATTATGTTAAGTTCATTCCAGGCCATATGTAAATCTAAAACAGTTTCTCGTAATGTTACTTTTTTTAAAGCCTCAGATAAGTTTTCAGGATTCTTTGATAAGACAGACGAAAGTAGAAACTTCCTATAGTATAGTTTGGTGAGTCTTATTATATTCTGGTCCATCGGTTGAATTAACGGTGTTACGTTGGGCGGCATGTACATGACGAAAATTGACCCATCCCTGCTCCTCAGTTGTTGCTCGGGAGGATGACTTGGTGCATTATCCTATAGTAACAACGCTTTTATTGGAAGCTTCTGTTGTTTTAGGAAACCTTTTACCTACAAATTGAAAACACATCTTCAAATTATGAATAGAGCATTTGTGATAATTGATTGTCATACCTGAGGGACAAAGAACCTGTGGAACCATTTCAGGAATATACTGCTACTCATCCAAGCAGTTTTTGAACAGTCATAATCAACAGGGATATTAACATTTTTAAATGAGCGCGGATTTTTTGCTTTCCCAATTACCAGTGGCTTTATTTTGTGTGAACCATTAGCATTAGTGCAGGTTAGAAACGTTATTCGTTGTTTCTCCGGGGCAGATTTTTCAAATGATGCAGCATAGGTTTTCTCTGGTAACATTTTCCAATAAAGGCCACTTTCATCTGCGTTGTAAATTTGTTCTATTCTTAAATCTAGCTCGGTAATTGTTTTCATCAATTTTTCTTTGAATGGTTGCACTAATTGTGGTTGTGCTGATAATTTTTCACCAGATATAGACAGCAGTCGAATTCCAGATCTTGTTTTGAATCGTTGTAGCCAGCCATCACTAGCTACGAAATTTTCAGTTTCTTTCAGTTTTTCACAGTCTCGCTCTCTGTTTAAGTACTTCGCCACTAACTGGGACATGATTTTCCCGTTGTTTTAAAAACTACTTATACAGGGAATTTTCCATTTTAGGTGCCTTCGCATTTTTTTAAGTTTTTCTTTTTCCCGGACCTCCAAATGTATTGCACGTTCTTTGTAAAATTTGAGTTTTCATACGCTTAATTTTACAGATTGTTGCTTCCGATACTCCATATTTTTTTGCTAACTGTGTCACTCCCGCACCTAGTGCAACTTCGTCTATGATTTTCACTTTCTCACTCAACTTTAAACACTTTCTTTTATAGGATTGGATGCCATAGTCGTAAAATATATTAACGCGTGCAATGTATTCACTTAAGTTCAAAAATGAAATACATACGTACGTATAAACGTATCCTAAACGATCATACGACTGACCGAGTTTGTCGTATTTTATCGCAGAGGTGAATCCCCTACACTCTACATCATAAATCGGGGACTCCCCGACGCCCGACATAAATCATCGAGGCTTCAGCATTTTACCGTCGCGCTGTTTCCGTGCGCCGAGAGTTGTTTACGCTATCGAGCGTACACATTGTTTACGTTATCGCGCGTTCCGTTTGATCCTATAGAACGAAGTTTGTGTTTACATTAGCGCAAGTTTTCATTATCCCGTGTTTACGTTATCGAGCGTGTGCTGTATTTGTTTTTGAAAGGCAATAGGCCTACGCAAATCAAAAATGAGTTGGGATCTATGTATGAGGACTGCACCACCATTTACCACAGTGAAACTTTATTTAAACGTGGCCATAAGAACTTTGGAGATGATAGACGTCCAAAATCTGCAAAAAATATCACTTTTTTTACTTTTTAAAATCGATACTAACGAAACAAAAAATCCTCAAAGATTGCAATCATATCTTATAGGAGGCTTATTCCAGTTCTCTGTGCGATCACTAGTTGCCGAGATATCAGAGATCTATGACAAAATCATTGTTTTTCATTCAGTCACGTGCATCAGCGTCAAATGATCGTATTGATATTTTAAAAACAGGTTATTGAAGCTGAATAAACGGGCTATCTGGTCCATATGATGGTCTAACAAAACATTTGTTTCAAGCCGTGGACTAAAAAGAAGGCAAATATTTAAAAATAAAATTCTTGCGCTATATGTTACGCACGAGGATTGTTGCCCCTAAAATGTTCTTAAAGTCTAAATACGACCATTTTTCACTGAAATACAGTCTGTCAAAAATTACCGAAAAATTTTGATTTTTTCCTTTCTTAATTTTTTTTTTGTTGGTATGCTTGATTATGTAATTTCGCTACCGCTGCATTCAAAAAATTGATCAATTTTTCTGACAATTTATTCGAAGAATTTATTTGATTGTGCAAAGCGGCGATAAGATTATAAATGATATGCCTTCGATTGCAGCTTTGAATTTTTCAACTATTCGGAGATAAATGAGATTGTGTATTTATTTTCAGGTGAAGTTTGAAATAATTCCCGACGGAAAAACAAACATCCTAAAATGTAATGGCTGTGGAAACTAGATTTGTTTTCTTAAAGTATTACTGTAAATGATATATAATTATTATATCATTTCTTCTTACGTTCATGGATGAATTTTTTGTACACGTAAGGGAAGTTTATTTCACCATGCAAATAAGATGCAATGTTTATAGTTACAATAATAAAAACTGAGTGAATTTTAAGAATATATTTATTAACAAAACCTTCCGATTCCTAACAATATTATAAAACAAATAAATCAGTCTTTTCAAACAAACATATGCAATATTAATAAAAATAAGTATAAAATTCATAATACGTAAACATTTAAAACATAAACCTATTAGAAATACTGATTATAATTACGTATACACATCTGTCTTTCTTAATTTTCGAGCTCTGGAATCAACCCCAGAATATCCTTGTACTCTACTTCTACACATAAGGATATATTTAACATTAATATCATTGAATTTGAGAGTAAGCTATTCTGAGACTATGTCTAGCTTTAATACATAATTTCATATCTTTTATTTGAAGATGTCGCGTGAGTCACAAATTCAACCAATGAGAAGGCATCTTTGAAGTCGGTTTCTTTGTAAAACTCTCAAATTAGATAATAGTTATAAGGTTTGTGTAAGATGAGCCTCTAATTACCATATTAACACGTTAACGACCAGCGCTAAATTTTTGAAATTCGCTTCTGAACCAATGATTTTTTTTGTTGAATTTTGATAAAAGAATGTTTGATATTTTTTTTTAAATATAGTTGTTTGGGGCTTAAAAAGACCTAACCTACTAAACGCCAATACATTACATCTGTGTCCCTATTAGACCCATATGAGTTGAACCATTACCGATGACTGTGCCCACAATGCGCAGAAAACAATGCAACGTGTTAAATCAAGAAATACGTCATTAATCATTTTTGTTGGGGTCCAGACGCAACATTAGCGGCTAATGTCACAAAATGCACAGTCTGCCACATATTCTGCTTTTGGATTGGTGGAATTTGCTTCAACTTTTATGTCCGGACTCAAATGAAAAATAGGTTTTTGTAGCTGAATTATGTGATGTCTGAAGTTTTTTTATTCAATATGAGAATTAGGAACCCATCTTACACAAATCGTATAATTTTTCTCCAGTTTGATATTTTACAAAAAATCGACCATAATAATTAGATCCATTACTTCAAAGACGCCTGGTCTTCGGTCCAATTTATGAAGGCGCAAATCTTGATTCCCGCGGATGAGTAGTAAAATCGGGCATTATTTGCTTCTATATTACGAGATCTGCGAATCAAGTGATGAGGCTGGCAACGTAGCGTTCGATCTGGCAACACTGGCTGTGCCGGGCTTGGAGACAGCGGAACATGTACAATACTAGTTTGAACTGGCTCGAATCATTTGAATGTCCGAAACGATTCTTTTGCGAAACAGTTTTTCTATTGTGTACTAAAAATGAGTGACATCAATTTCGAGCAACAGTGAGCTATCAGGCTTTAGAAACAAAAAAATCAGTCTCAATACTTAATTTACAGACCTCGTATTCTTCGATAACTTGCGTTATACTGAAGCTTAAAGGGTGACGTTAAATGTTCGGAGCTAAATGGATCGGTTGTTAGGGTGCTATGGACGCGACGTTTAGATAACGAATACGGAGATGTGCACCGAGATGTTAAGCTCCTTATTCACAATCCTAGAACGAATGTATATTTCTTATTAATTTTTGATGTTCTGCATATTTAAACATATGTTTGATTTCGGCGACAGTTATTCAATGAGTATTCTCCGTTCGAATTTCCGCCTGAAATTCTGGTTGTCAGTGGAGTTGCTAAAGGTAAGGCATCTGATAATTTGTAGCGTTCTGCCCTTTTCTTGCAGATTCCGCACCTGGAAAATATAGAAATACACTTTTAACTCGGTTTGTAACTATAAATAAGGCGCTTTTGGATTTGAGTATGGTACGTTTTTCACCGTTCTTTTATCGACGACCTAAGACAACTAATTCTAAAAACTGATGATTCATAAATGTGAGAATGTAACTTTATTCTTCCTTCCTGAATATATGATGGACTGTGGGAAATGGTCGGTTCTGCACCGATTCTGACGACACAGGGGGTTTTTCAATTAATTTTTGTTAATAATTACCGTGAATTGTTATCAACCAAAGGAACTTATACAGACATTAAATGAATTTTACACAGGACGTCTGTCCACGCTCAAGTCTGTCCATGCCAATATTGTCTAAACAAACCACATATACGCTATTAAAAAAATCAAAATAGCTGAGTATACAAAGCAATATTCCAAGTTGAACAGGAAGGACAAATTGATTAGCATATAGAACTTTCAGAGAAGCATAAGTTTTCTCGATACATTTATTAATCTTAGAATCTCAGATTTGAGTGAAATTGTACTCCTAAATTTCTCACTGCGGCTGAACTTCTTATTACGACATGAAAAGTGGGTTCAATATGTTCTTTCAATCTGCCAAGTAACATAAGATGTGATCTGTTAGCATTAATCTGTACTCCATGATTTTCCGAAAATACAACTAATCTTTCAATATCAACTAATAATAGCCAAGGCATCACGTTTCTCGTCTGTACCTAACAACTTCGGAGATATTAAGGAGTTATTGAAATGCGGCCATTCACTATTACTGCCGATCTTACACTAATAATGGCAAGTATAGACTAATCTTAAAATTGTTTCAGAATTTCAGTTATTGGGTGCATTTCCATGAACACTTTCTAACCTATAAATATTGTGGTAAAATCAATTTTTATCTTGTTTGAAGATGCACCAAGACTGATTTAATTCCAATCATCTTGTGAATTATATAGTTTTGCTATTGTTTTTGTACTTCTTCGTGCTTTGCAACTAGTTCGAGGTAAATATCAGTCTTTTTGATTTGAATTTTACGGATCTATGATTTTCACCAATTAAACAGCGAACAGTACAAAATAATAGCGAGAAAATGGCAAAGGAAACTACTTTGCGTATATAATTTCTTTTATCTGCGAAAGTTAATATAAAAAGTGAGGTTATTCGCACAAAAAGGACGAACATAGTCTTGACTGTGCCATTATTTTAAACGCCATGGAGTAGTGGCAGGCAATAACTTTATTAATTCCACGTCTTATTTTTGTTTTACTGCGCCTGTTCAGATGTCAAATCCGGCCAGGAATTAGTGCCTGACCTTATTGGACGTTCAATAACCCCCTATTACGAAAGGTTGGAGGTATAAATACTAAAAATCAGAGAACTAAAAACGGAACCTTGTGGTATACCCGATGGGATGACATCTTTGATTATAGAGGTACGGTGATTTCAAAACCGGTTAGTTCTCAATAACTCATGTTAAGAGATTTGGCCTTTTGGACAGCGAACAGGTGCAATAAGCCTTACTGTGGGGAACAAGTTATATTATATATATATATATATACTTGAGACGTGGTCATCGTCTTTAGACCAGTTAGGTGAAAAATAAAGCTTCCACATTTTGTTGGGTACTTCGACAAAATTCAAGCAAAAATGACTCTTTCTACTTTATTAATCTCTAGCTTTCAATGAACTTTGTCAACTTCATCAGGAGCTTCAATAACATGAGAAAAAAATAGCAACTATTGTGCAAAATGATTATAAATTAACTTACAGTCGTATGTGATATATATATATAACTTGAGACGTGGTCATTGTCGTCTAAACCAGTTAGGTGAAAAATTAAAGCTTCCGCCTTTTGTTGGGTACTTCGACAAAATTTAAGCAAAGAGGACTCTTTATACTTTTTTTAATTCTCTCTAGCTTTCAATGGACTTTGCCATCATCATCAGGAGCTGCAATTACAATGATAACAGTAGCAACAAAAGTGTAAAATGAATTTAAATTGAATCAACTTACAGTAGTATGTGAGGATGTTGCTAATTGTTGTTTTCGTATAGGATGAGGGAAACGTCCAGTAACATGGTGAGAGCTGGATACATGGTACAATGGTTAAAATTATATACAATATGACAAGACAAGTTAAAGACAGATTAAAAATTATTTAGAAAACATTAGAGCATTACGTCGTGAAGCCACTTGATGATAGCACAAAATGGTGGTCATGCAATAATGAGTGAGATGAACCTTTGACAGAAGTCCGAAGGTTGTCAATGTCTGTGTTGAAAGATGGAACGAATTGTGGGCGTGTGCCAAAACGTTGCCAAATCACTTCAGATGATGTGATTTTCAGAATGTTATGTAAGAAATTGTTAAACCGACCAGATGCAGTTGAATAAACTATATTTTAATTAATGGGAATTTTAAATTAACAATTATTAATAAATCGTGAGAAGAGAATTATTAGATTTAGAGTGGAATGAAATTTGTTGGTGGAATCGGCCAAAACACAGATTATATTTATGGTTGTGAAAAGTCGAAATTTCTTACATAACATTCTGAAAATCACATCATCTGAAGTGATTTGGCAACGTTTGGCACACGCCCACAATTCGTTCCATCTTTCAACACAGACATTGACAACCTTCGGCCTTCTGTCAAAGGTTCATCTCACTCATTATTGCATGACCACCATTTTGTGCTATCATCAAGTGGCTTCACGACGTAATGCTCTAATGTTTTCTAAATAATTTTTAATCTGTCTTTAACTTGTCTTGTCATATTGTATATAATTTTAACCATTGTACCATGTATCCAGCTCTCACCATGGTACTGGACGTTTCCCTCATCCTATACGAAAACAACAATTAGCAACATCCTCACATACTACTGTAAGTTTATTCAATTTAAATTCATTTTACACTTTTGTTGCTACTGTTATCATTGTAATTGCAGCTCCTGATGATGATGGCAAAGTCCATTGAAAGCTAGAGAGAATTAAAAAAAGTATAAAGAGTCCTCTTTGCTTAAATTTTGTCGAAGTACCCAACAAAAGGCGGAAGCTTTAATTTTTCACCTATATATATATATTGTTTTGCTTGTCAAGGAAGATTGCTCGGTTTGTAAAATCTCCTAACCTGTATAATTTAAACTTACCTCGACACCAAGAGGAACAAATCCTTCCGGTACTGTGTGGTCATTAAAGCGTATAGGTATGGGTTGGCGCATGCGTTCAAGGGATAGAAGAACACCAATAATATTTTGGATTTAGTCACACCAATCAGAGGGTACCCCGCCAAAGCTGTTAGACCAAAGAAAGCTATCGGTGCCACCTAAAACAAAACGCATTAAAGGAGCTAATATTTTACCTTTACTAGAACATCGCGTGATGTCTTGGGCTATGGGTCAGGCTACCTGTAATCTGTACAGCAAAGGAAAATATTTCCTTGAAATTCCCGGGATGACTATTATTTGCTAAATATGCAATTTTAAGGCCAAGCCGGACTGTCAGGTACCTGCTTCCTCCTGACCTCAACCTGCGGTTGCCCATGCTAATGTACCATAATTCCTCTATTCAAACCTCATTAATAAACGCGAGATTTTGAAGATCGCACGTTATCTAATATTCCAATTCTAATAAAAAAAATTATTTTATGCTAAAAAAACTATCTAGTTCCAAACTTACTGTAGCAAAATCTATGAATATAAGCAAAGCCATTTTCTTAGCAATGGTCATCTCGCCTTTAGTATTCGCTCTCCGTGTTTCGTAACCCAAGCTGAAGTAGATCCGTACATAGCAAACTACGATCAAGCTGAAGGCGAGACCGTTTAAAAATATCACCGTGTAGAGGTACAGCTTGTCCACCAGATTATTTGCTTCCATTGGAAGACAGATACTGAAAGAAAACAAAGGGTAAAAATAGGTGATTTTTTGAAAATGTTTATTAAGTTTTAGCAAAGCACAATCGTGGGTATGTCCACAATAAAGAATCAGGAGCAATAGAAGGATTGGTAACACAATACACATGATTGGCGAGTGAGTTCTATCCCACTTATGACCATAAACGCTAATATAAAGACTTAAGAAAGAAACGTCTACCTCTAGTAGATAGCTGAAAGTTAGTAAGCAAGAATTTTATAAGATGCGTTTTCGGTTGAATCTCCAAAACATGTAAAAGTTTTTGCGACTATTATTGTGTACATGGGTAAAAGAACCCAGATTTCCTGGCAAAAATACACTCGTTTCACAAACCACCGATAAACGAGGAAACTCAGTTTCTGTTTAACATATTCAGGACGTGGTTGCCGTGAATATTGTTTAAAAATTCATTGTTGCAATGCTGTTATAAGCTTTTATACAGTACCTATAGCAATAAAAAACTCGTTATTTTTTGTTATTTTAAATCTAATTTTTCACTTTCTCAGTGATACAATTTGTACTATTTCTAAATTGAAAAAAATATGAAAAATCTATCTTTGTGTTTATTTTATAATTTATATATACAGGGTGCTTCATAACCTCTTTTCATAAAAAACATGTTTCTTTAAATAGAACACCTTATATTTTATTGCATATTTGAATAAAGCTTCTAAAAACAAGAAGTTTAATGTTACATGACACATGATTTCGATTGTCAATTGTTTAGATAGTGAAATGTCTGAAAAAAATCCAACTTTGACGTCTCGCTGCTCCCTCACTTTTTAAGATATTTAGATAAATTTTAGTTCACAAAAAGTTTATTATAATCGATTTTAAATGGATCTGGAGGAAGTGTTGAAATTTCTTTCTATTTATACAGGGTATGTCAAAACGCAAAATGTACCGGTTCTTAAAAATTTCATATGGAACACCAACAACAATTTCATAATGAATAAATGTTTTGGGTTAAGCTGAGTCTTGTTGTGCAAAAAATTAATTGTTTTCATGCAAGGTCTGATTTTAAGCCTAAATGTATGAGTATATATTTTTTCTTGGAATCGATAGCAATAACTCGAAACTGTTCGAAAAAAGTGGTGACAACCTTATATAGAAAAAAGTTCCCACTGAAAGCTATTTTATGATGTAGAAATTGTTCCATTTGAAATTCATAAGAAAAGGTACATTTTGCGTTTTAGTAAATAAAAAGATATTTCAGCATTTCTTTCAGATCAGCTCAAAATCGATGATAATAAAATTTTTGTGAACTATTTGCCTAAATATCTCCTAAAATTGTGGAGCTGCGACGCGACAAAGTTGGTCATTTTTCCAGATATTTCACTAAATATCTAAACAATCGAAAATCAAAACCATATGGTATATGATATCAAACTTCTTGTTTTTAGAAGCTCTATTCAAACATGCAATAAAATATAACGTGTTCTATTTAAAAAATATGTTTGCTATGACGAGAAGTTATGGCACACCCTGTATATATTATAATAATTTTAAAATATGCCCTAGTAACAGATCAAGGTTACCACGTAAATCAATTTTTGCTGACTTTTCCAGTTTGCTCTTAAAACAACTTTCCATTTTTGTTGGGACACCCTCTATACATATACTTCATTCTGCTAGTTTTCTCGTGTTTACAAAACATTGTCTCTCAGCTTATTGAAATGCGTACTTATTCTTCCAATTACCTGTTTTATGCCTTACCTGGTACTGCTATAATTGCTAACTCTAAATACTGGCAATATGGCGATGATAAAGGAATATACCCATCCTCCCAGAAGGATGCAGCATGCAGACTTCTTATTTATCCTTTTGGTGTGTATGGCATATGTTATGGCGTACCACCTTTCTAACGTGACTATTGTCAACGTATATATAGATAGGTTGCTCGAGAAAACTGTGAGAAAACCTGCCAGCTGGCAACCTATACCTGAAAATGAAAACGAAACTGAGCTTAGAAATATATCGAGTACGATGATAAAAAACAACTGTAACTAAAAACAATTTGATGCTCTATGAATTGCAATCAAAACAGAAAGCGAAGCTTTAAATATTCAACCCCATTAAGCATTTTAAATTACCATAAAATGATCAGAAACTACGTGCTTTGATAAAATTCATACGATTGTCCAGATTCCACGTTGTACTTAATTTCGATCATTATGTTAACTAAATTGGAGTGTTTGAATAAGCGAATAAGTAGTTTTGGATTTAAACATACAGGGTGACTTCGAAGTTGAGTCATTTATTTTAACAGTGAGTAGATCTGATCAAAAGAAATGTTTTTTTCCTTTACCATTTTTCTGGTAAAATTAAAGTGACAAAGTTATAGCCCTTTGGAAGTTTGAGTACCGCCCTGTCTCAATAATATCACGTGCTCGTGTTTGGCAACCACGGATATAAT